AAAAAAAAAAAAAAATGTATTAATGAAAATTTGCATTTACAGCAACCCTTTAGGTCAAGTGAATTGACAGTTAACTGGCTTCAATAGATAACAGACCATTAAAGGAGAAGGACATTTGTGACAAACCCTGCAGACACAAATACCCACAAATAAAGTTCCTCTTTAAGTTTCCTTTTGTGGGTTTGACATTTTACTTATTTATTTATTGCAGTACCCAGGGTGTTTGCGCTGAACTACACCCCTCAGCCTTTTTAAACAATATTTATTTTTCACATTATTTTCATGGTTTAAATACACACACAGTGCATTTATGTAAGTCAGCTCATTTCAACAACAAAAAAAAAATACAGAGACACATTAAAAGGCAGCCACTCCCTGCCCCAGGTTGCCGCACAGTTCAAGCTCCAGCTGTCAGGTACAGCAGGGCCAGGGGCTCCTGCTGCTGAGTCACTGCTCCGAGCGGGGAAGAGAACATTCCCTTACCAGTGTGAAGCACACAATTAAAACACTACTTCTGTCCAAGAAAGACTGTATAGTGCAGTGTGTAAATTTATACCCAGGACAAGAGATATTTTAAAAATAAAGAGTTAAGGCTCAGACAGATGGGAGTGAAAGCCACAGTGTGCTCTGCAGGATGGAGGGAGTTTGAGTTTGGGGCTCACAGATGCTCCTGCTAAAGGAAGCTCAGGCCCCAGCCTCGTGGAGGCTTAGGGGAAACTTTTGTTTTTTAGTACTAGGAAATGAATTCAGGGTCTTTCCATTGAGCTACAACCCCAGCCCATTTATTTATTTTTCATTTTGTGTTTTTCTTTTTTTGGGGGGGGGCTCACTATGTACTTCAGGCTGACTTTGAACTCACTATGTATTCCAGGCTGGCCTTGAACTCACAGCAATCCTCCTGCCTCAGCCTCCCAAGTGCTGGAATTATAGGTGTGTACCACCACACCCAACTGAAACAATTCTTATTAAAGCAGTAGTGGGAGAAAGTGGCAGAAAACGGGGAACACACAGTGATTTTATATCCTTAACTTTATATCCTTAGCTTTATAGTTTCCACACCCCTTGGACATGAATTACCTTGAACTTAAATTCACCTTGTAAAGTCCTTATCTAGGGAAATGGTTCTTACTCTGACTTCACAGAATGAGACTTCCAAAAAGTAACTGGTCCAGGTTGCTCAGTCCTGCTAAACCTTCCTACCCTCTGTAACCTGGACACGGGCCTGGCTGCCTCACAGGGAACAAGGCAGCTGAGCTCCATCTGCGTGTGGTGGTCCAGCCAAGGAATGCTGGGGGTACATCAACGATCGCGGCCCTGTGCAGCTAAGTGACCTCCAGAAGGAAACTCCTGAGGTCGCTATGGCCTGGGAGCAGTCAGTATCCCCAGGAAAATCCCCATATCACGATGAGAAGTCTCAAATCCCATATCACGATGAGAAGTCTCAAACTGTCATAGAACGT